GTAATTTTCTGTGTTCAAGCTATCATACTAATGTTTTCGGTATAATCATTTTTTCATAATCAAGTAAAGATGATTTGTGAAGCAAAGTTGATCAAAATCTACAGAATCAAACCGATACAAAAATGTAAAGTTCATTCAAACTTGTAATTTGCACATATAGGTTTATCATTGCTGTGGCATATATAAATTTGTAACGAGCTAACGCAGAAAGTAGATTTTTATTTTGAAAACTGAGGAAAATTTTTTAAAAAACTCAATGAGGCACTTTTCAGAGAACAAATGAGCCTATCTTTATAAGATCCCAATAAAAAATTGAGAGTCTGATTGTTTCATTATAAGGGTACGTAAAGACTGACAAGTAAGTCTGTAAATACTTTTAGGACAAGAACATTCTGGATGATTCAACAGAAATCCTTAGCAATATGCGTCTTTGGAATATGAATTAATGAGAAAATTTGCTGCTTTAGGACAGATGATAAATTGGGTTTTTTTCTGAATTGCTACAGCCAAACCGCTTGCATAACCTTTCAACTTCCTAGGGTTCAGCCCTTCAAATCCTGGATAGCTTCAAAAAGAAGAGCTACAAGTAAGATGCGTAGAAAATAAGACTCTAAAAATATATAGCAAAATTGTCCTACCGGAAAAAGTTTTCAAAATTCTTGAGATTATATTCTGCTGCGAATAACTTGTCTTCTTTTAGTTCCAAGATCGACTGTCTTACATAGACAAGCGTTACGACCATCTTCGAAAACTTACGCAAACGCTGAAGAAAAAGATCAACGAATTAGAAGTAAGGAGATTCTTTAAGTTTGCCGCTTATCAGCTCGTATTTGCGCTTTTAAGGATATCATGCGACAAGATAATGACGATGAGAATATGGAGCAAATCCAACGCCTAATCGAAGAGATTAAAAGAGAGAAGCAAATGATGCGTGATGAAGCTCACATTATTCGAGGCGAGCTCTCCCAGGCAATGTATAACGAGGACCTAAGGTAAGCATCCATTTTGTAAGGTGAAATTTGTGGCGAGACCACAGCGAGCACTGTCACAATCATCTTTTACTTACCTTAGCTTAGATATGGTCTTGCACTGCATAATAGAAATAAATGTGGATTTTGTGACCTACAATACAGCCCGTAATTCGGGTTTAAAAACGGATAGCGACGAATTAAATTTTATAAGACCGCGTGAACTCATATTTCACCTTAGAATGGTTAAAATCAAATTACACCACTCTACTCGGGATGATCTAAGTTTTAAGAATATTTAGAGCAAGCATACCGCCGTTAAAAATTGCGAAATAAACGCGATACTCGGGAAGCGCCA